ATACCTCCAGAGATGGGCCATCCACAGCCTCTCTGGGCCAAGTTCTTTACTGGACTAAAATCAAGGATCAATAATAAAGGACTTCATATCTCTTATTTTCTTGAGACGATCCTCAATGCCCCAAGTCTGAGGATTAATCCACATATTGGAAAGCATGAGGGATAGGACAGAAAGTAATTCTCCAAATCCCGTAACGCTGTTGTAGAAACTGGTGGGATGATCTCTGAATGCCACATTCATCTCGTTGTGACTCAGAGAAGGATACAGCCGACACAGAAGGCTTTGAGGCAGGTGATGAAAGCATTCAGAGACTTGAAGATGAAAGACTGAAAAGAGTGGGGCAAATAGATGAAGGGAGCTTAAATAGAATCATTCGACACTGATTATTTACCCTTTCATGCGGGAGAAGAAAGGGATGTGGTTAAAACAATTTAACGAAAGAAATGATATATCAAAAAGAGATATTTTGACACAAGGCACAGTGAACATGGAACTGGTAGAAAGTCTCATCAAGGGCAAAGCAGAAAAGAAAGTCTGAAGCACGTGCCTGGCTACGAGATAACCTCAGCTATGCAAGTTTAGATAGTACTTTATTTTTAGCCCATTTTAATGTAACTGGAGCTTATGCAATCTGTGTCTGGGTGCAGGAGGATACTCAGTATCTGCAAACTCATAATTGAAATTGCTTTTTGCAGACAGATTTTTTTTTTTCCCCTCTTAACGTCCCAATGGAGTGCTCATGTGGGCAGATCTCTGCAGGGGCAGTGCTGAGAGCTGCTGCCTCAGCCAAATCGTACAGAAGAGCTATAGGGCTGTAACTGTGGGGGACCAGAGTCCATGTGCCCTTGCAGAGCCAAAGCTGCAGAGAAGCAGCCCCAGGTCTTTGCTCCACCTGACTGCAGGGGTGAAGTTGGGACCCCAGGTGCAAGCTGTAAGAGGCAAAGAGCTGGATGTGGGGCAGCACAGGGGAAAATGTGGGAGCTGCTTGGTGGTTGTGGGGTAGAGCAAAGCTTGACACTGTGGCAAGGAGCTGCCTGTGGGCTGGCAAATCAGCTTCTGACTTGAGTGTTTTGCTGTACCTTGTGCTCAGAATCCTGCTATTTGTTGAGTGCATGTATTTATATTTATGTGAAGTAGGGTCCTTCTTTCTTATATAAACACTTGTTCCTTGCACAAAGTGCTTCATTCATTTTCCATTATTATATGTACTTCTATTTTAAGTGTATTTACTTTGTTCAAGGAGCAAGAGATACTTGAGTCCTGGGTCCCCATGCCCCTGGCTGTGGAACTGAGTGTTTTCAGCTCAGAGTGGACTCAAGAAGGAGGGAGAACAACCACGAGTTGGATTTAGGACCATAGAAAAATACCTGTTGTGGGTCTCTGCAGGGCATGGCACAAGATCCTGAGTGTGATGGTAGCACCCAAGGCTTCAAATAAAAAAGAAAAGATATCAGCAGGAATTGGTTGAGGAATTTAGCTTTGCTGGATTTCTCTGTATAACAATGTATGAGAAGGTCAGCAGCATCTCACTGCAGGGCGAGGCCATTTGGCTGATCTGCATTTTCCTTTTCCTCCAGCCACGGGACTTCTTTGCATAATTTTTATCAATGACAAGTGTTGCTTCCCAGACGGATGTTGCATAACGCGTGGCTTTCACTGCACTTGCACAGGATTGTGGTGTTGGCAGTTTCTTTCAATTCTTCTTGCCTGTGGTTTCCTTGCTCTGTGTTTCCTTCTGTCCCTTACTGGAGCACAGTGAGGGCAGGAGAGCTGTAGTGCACAGGGGTCCAGAAGTCTGGCAGCATCTCCCAGAAGAGGTGCAAGGATATTCCTCTGCCTTGACCTGTGGCCATTAATACATCTTACTTTCATCAACCAGTGGGCATTTTCCTCTGGGCAAACAATGCAGAGCTGGGGAAGGTTTCCTAAAGCCAGTCAACACTAAGGCAGTCGTCTCCTCTTTCCATAGATCTGGCTGGTCACCTATGCACCCATCTGCTGCTACAACACTTTTAATTGTGCTGCATATTTGACCATAACTTTTTTGACTTGCCTTCACATCAACAAAAGGCACTTCATCTTCAGCTACCTTTTTTTGCATTTTTACTTGTAAAGCTGTGTTTTCTGCCCTGCTGTGCCCCCAGCAGCTATTCTGAAATCTTCACTTGGAAGTGCTCCCAACGAGAAATCAAGTTGTGCTTTCTCTCTTTCTCTCTCCACACTGGCTTTTGATTTCTCTGCCACATTAGAAAGTCATATGAATACAGATGTCTTCTACCACAGGCGAATTAAAACCATAAGTCATTTCTTCACTCTCCCTTTAGATCACTTCCTTATATTAAATTCCTTAAATACACTCTAACACAAGCTTTCTACTTTTTGCTGAGCTGCAATTCTGTGTAATTCATCGAAATATCCTCTTTTCCAGTTAGAATAGGAACTTCTTCATCAGCATCCAGTAAGAAGTTCCATTCGACTCTCATCTAAATGAAGAAGTGAAAGCTGGGGCAACAACTTCTGCAGTGAAGAGGAAATTTTTATTTTATTTATTTATTTTTTTTACCATTTCCATCAAAATGAATGTTTGTAGTTTTGAGATTGGTTAAGGTTCATAATGGATGGCAGATTTTCTATGGTTATCCCAGAAAAGAAATGATTGCATTGGGAAGCTCTTTATCTTTTCTCTTTGCCTGTGAAGGCATAGCTCATCCTCCCAAGCCAGCATCACCTGGTGTCACCACAAATTTCTACACGTGGTCTTGGGACCCAGTTCTATTTGAGTTGAACCTTGGCTTGGGGCTACTCCCCAGGGGATCCCAAGCCCTGCTTTGGGTTTAGGATCCTGCTCTCACAGCTGTTCCAAGCACCAATTGCTTCTTGTCCTGATCATAACAGCTTATTGCGTGCTGATGTCTTTCCTCCCACTTCTTGTGACTCCTGGGAGGTCAGGGGAGATGCCAAGGGGGTGGCTGGTGAATGTCTATAGGCAGAGAGGCTCACAAAAACAGGTGGCTACTGTTGACTAAACTCTAAACCTCAAGAGTGTTTACACAGAGGGTGCTCTGAATTTCTCCAGTGTCACTACCAGGTTAGAAGCAGTTGTGAAGTAGGCAGCTGAGAAGAGCTGGAGAGATTGTTCTGTCCTTAGCTTTGAGGCTGGGTCAGCACTGCCTGGCTCTTCCTGGATGGTGGGGGGTGGTTTAGAATCGTTGAGTCATTAAGGTTGGGGATCTGAGAGGACTTTTCCAAATCCGAACGCAATGCACCCCGACCATGCCTGCACCCCTCACTGCCACATCTCTACAGTTCTTGAAAGCTTTCAAGAATGGGGACTCCACCACCTCTCTGAGTAGCCTGTTCTTTCTAAAGGAAACAATCCCAATTTCTTCTCCTCATCCTATCCTGTTGAACCAGCTCTGAGGTACACCCTTCATGGCAGGGATCTGACAGCAGGGAAAGGCACAATAAGCAAAGGGCCATAGCAACTACCTTGATCCTACACGTGAATGGGGACCATAGCTCTTCCATGAGGTGTAAGGATGGACACAACCAGATCTCAGCATGAGTCAACCTCTTTAGAGCATAAGGGTTTTAGTCACCTCTAGTGAGAGTTGGGAGGTAAAGGCTGGGATCAGTGGTGGCAACAAACCCACAGGGCAGCAAGGGCAAGAATGGAAAAAGGGAAAAAAAAAGAAGAGGAAGTGCTGAGTTCTGTAGTTCTTTCTGGATGTGTGTCCACAGGGGCATTGTGAGTTACCTTTGGGAATTGCCATTGCTGTCCCTTTTTTTGGTCATGCTGCGATTGCCAGTGTTTCATCTACAAAGCTGTGATGTGCTGATCCCAGAGTTCTGGCAGAACTCTCTCTTCTCTCAGCTCCTAACCCCAGGGCCACATCTCCTCCCTGAAACTAAAGTATTTACTTTTATTTGGGATGCTAAACCAGCATATACAAGTGGAATAGGATGAAGTTACCCATGCTAGCAAGAAGTGAACAAGCAGGAACCGCAACAATTTCACTGACCAGAGCCAAAATTAACATCTGTAGGCAAAGAAGTGTATGCCCTCTATCTGTCTTACAGTCAGGTAGGCTACAGCAGGCTACAGCCTACATACAGTGACCAAAACTCATTTCTTATGGGCTGCCTTTGTCTCCAAACCTGCAAGATTTCCAGCATAAGCCTGCAGCTTTTAACATCAAAACGAATAAAACCAACATCCCCAATAATTTCAGGTCAATCCAACTTCATCCCTATACCATCTTTTCTTTTCTAGAAGTTCAACAAAGAGCTGGAGATCAATGTCTGCACAACACACCATTCTGGAGCCAACACAGAATCCTTGCATAACATTGCAGTGGGATGAAAACAGCAGGAAGGCAAAGTCTTTCACAACAACAAATGAGAACGAGCCCCAAACCAGCAACCACTAACACAAAAACAAAAGAAAAGATCAACTTACCAACAGAAAACATGAAACACACAGGAAACTCCACCAAAAGACACCCTCACCTGCAATGCCAACCCTTAAATACAATCTGGGAAGGGGTGGATCCTGGCTCTATGCCTTCCAGTCACTCAGGTGAATTGCTTGCACCTGAGCTCTGCTGGGTTGGCCCTGCATTCCCACCAGGTGTTCAATCACTGTTTCAGACTGACTTAGCATTCCTACTATGCTTTGTTATGGGGCACATTGGAAGTGGTATTACTCGTAGAACTGTGGCTGAGCTCAGATGTTCCTTCTGGCAGTGCTTTCCTGCCAGCAGTGGTCTCTATGGGTGTCCATGCCATGGGAGCAGAACAGCCCTGCATAGGGCTTCCGGCTCTGGCCACCAGAATGGAATCTGAAAGAGATGGCCGTGTGGCCAATGCTTCCTCTTTTACTGTTTCCTTTCCACTCCCAACTCAGCAAAATTTGGGGATACTGATGTAATTTCCTTAGTATGATGCACTCATCTTTATTCCTTGAAACCCTGTGCCCGCCCAGCAGTGCCTGGGGATAAAAGTGGCAGCACAGCAGAGGCTGAGCATCGTGCAGAGCAGAGACCTGCAGCCACCCAACTCCAGCCCTGCTCACTGTGCCAACGTCCTGCAGACCATGAAGGGCCCCGCAGCCGTCCTGGCCACTCTGCTCCTCCTGGCCCTCTGCTCCTCAGCTGTGGCCCATCTGGGTGAGTCGGGTCTCATTATGTACCTCTGTCTGGGTGCCCGTTCCTCCCTGGGAGCCCCATCCCCATGGAGGGGACCTTCATGGTGGGCTGTGGGGGCCTGCCACCCGTGCTGGGGCTCAGCCTTGGAGACGGGGTCCCTTGGGGTGTCCTTGGGGGATATGACATCAGGGGGGGATTGTGTGATGGGAGATCCTTGGAAAGTCCCAGGTAGGGCACCTGTGGGGTCTCACCAGGGCTTTGTTTCTCTCTCCCACAGATGCCCTACCCACAACCTGCTGCTTCTCCTACGTTCCACGTCCCATCCCACGCAACGTCATTGCTTCTGCCTTCCCCACCAGCAGCAAATGCCGCCTGCCGGCAGTGATGTGAGTATCCAACCACAGCTGGGGTGGTTGCGGTGTAACACAACAGCATCATGCCACAGCTTCAAGGGTGGTTGGTAAGGGATGAGAGTGTGGCTGTGGACGTGTGTGTGCTGCCTGCAGGACCAGTCATCGTGTGAACCTAACGCTGGTTTTCTCCCTGCAGCCTGGTCACCAAGAAGGGGAAGGAGGTATGTGCAAACCCCGAGGAGTCCTGGGTGCAGAAACGCCTGGAACTCTTCCAGAGCCAAGAAAACTGACCTTCAGTGCTGTGCCCCTGGGCTTGGCCCACAGGAACACTCGTGCACCAGAGCATTTGAACTGGATTGTCTTCAATACGGAATTTATTCTATTTAACTTATTTAAGTTAAATTAAATATTTTTTTCTAAGAAAATGAAAAATACAAAAATAATTTAAAAGATATCACAACATAATAATCCATTATGGTCATAGTTTTTCCGATGCCTAAATAAAGTTTTTGGACTATCAAACCCCTTTGTTTGTCTCCTATATGGACTTTCAAAGCCCTTTGTCACAGTTCCCGTCGGGATGCCATGGTGCTTCCACCTCCCAGGGTGGGCTCAGCTCCCCACGGCCAGTCCTGACCTCAGCACATCCCCATGGGGTGATGGTGGCATCCTGGCTGGGGTGTCTTTATGAGAAATAGTTCAGTAACAGCAAAGCGCAGGCAGGAAGGATGCCTCAGTATGTGCAAGCCCCAAGGAGTCCTGGGTGCAGAAATACCTGGAACTCTTCCAGAACCAAGAAAATTGACCTTCTGTGCTGTGCCCCTGGGCTTGGCGCACAGCAGAACACTCAGGCACCAGAGCACTTGAAGAGGATCTCCTTCTTCAACAGAAAACTTACTGAATTTAGCTTATTGAGGTTAAATTAAAAATTTATTTTGAAATGAAAAGGAAAACAATTTGAAGGAACAATAGTTTGACACACAGAATGGTAGAATCATAGGATGGCTTGGGGATGGCTTGGCGGGGACACCAAGGATCATCAAGTTCCAACCCTCCTGTGTCAGGCAGGGCCACCATCCTCCAGGTCCTGTCCACGTTGCCCAGGGCTCCATCCAAGCTGGTTTTGAAGGCCTCCAGGGATGGGTGATCCACAGCCTCTCTGGGCAGCAGTCACAATTAGATGAGCAGTCACAGTAAGGAGTTAGGAGTTTTGATGCCCAAATAAGTTACTCGGACTATCAAAACCCTTTGTCTCAATTCCATGCAATAGCCTGTGTCATCTTCCACGGTGCTGACACCTTGGCTGGGCTCCCATCGCTCGCTCTTGCAGAGGAAGCAGCAGCTCAGCAGGGAAGCGCAGGCAGGAGAGTCGTGGCAGTGGTGGTGTCGCGCCCCGCAGTGCTCCGGCACATCAGCAAACTCCGCTGTGGCGCTTCAACCAGCAAGGCCGTTGTTCAGAGGCTGGCAAGGCGCAGTGGCTGCAGGGCTGTGAGTGCCCTCGGGGTGCTGGGGGCCCTCAGAGGTGGGTTTGGGATGCCCACATCTGCCCACGGGGCTTTGATGGGTGCCAATGAGCTCCAACAGGGAGTTGGAGACACAACTCACAGGTCATTGAAATATGTGGACTGAAGATGGTATAGCAAATAAACCACATCATCCCTAATTTACTAATGCAAGGGGATTTATTTAGGCATCAGAGCTCCTGATTCCTTAACAAGTATTTGATGTTTTGTGCATCATCTCTGTGTTTTCACTTCCTTCACAGCGTGGGAGAGCAACTTTTCTGTTCTGGATAGCTCCAGGAGTGCCTGCACCCAGAATTGCTTTGGGTCTGTGCATATCTTCCTCGTCTTCTTGGTGACCACGCTGCAGGGAGAAAAGCACCACTGGGTCAATGGGGTGCTGGGTCTGCATGGCAGCAGCCACATGTCCTCAACCACACTGCCATCCCTTCCTGACCACCTGTGTGTCACAGTCGTGGTGTTGTACTCCAAACCCCAGCTGGATATTCACATCACTGCTGGCAGGGAGCAGGAGCTGCTGGTGGCATAGACAGAGGCAATGAGCTTGTAAGGAATGGGATGTGACACATAACTGTAGCAGCAGCTTAAGGGGATGTCATCTGTGGGTTCAGGAAAAGAGAGCCGTGGCGAGATGCTGTATGTGGGGCTCCCTGAGGGTTTGCCATCAGCTACCCTCAGCTCATGTCATATCCCCCAGAAGATCCCATCTCCAAAGCTGAACACCAGCATTGGTGGCAATTGCCCACGCTCAGCGCTATGCTGGACCCAGCCATGGGGATGGGGATTCTCCAGCACCCAGAACCCTACCAAGTAGGGACAGTGCCTCCTGCCCCAAGAGGAAAATGTAAGACACGACTTACCACTACTGCCAATAGGAAAGGAGTCCACAGTCGAGGGAGCAGAGGGCCAGAAGGAGAAGAGCAGCCAGGGCAGCTGCAGAACCCTTCATGGTGCTGTGGGACATGGGCACGGAGCAGGGCTGGAGCTAGCTGGCTTAAGGGCTCTGCTCTGCACAATGCTCAGCCCCTGCTGCACTGCCACTTTTATTCCCTGGCTGCTGGGCGTGTACAGGGTGTCAAGGGAAAAATATGAATGCATAATAACTAGGAAATTATTTCAGAACCCCTGCAGAAATAAAGCCGCAAAAAGGAGAAGCACCAGCCATAGGGCCACTGCTTTCAGATTCTGTTTTAGTGCCCAGTGGGGCACACGTGACACCAACCCTGGTGCTCTGCACTCACCCTGCAATGAGAGCCAGGCTGGGATGTGGAGCTCCGTGGCTGCAGCCCCAATGGGAGTTGGGTGGACGGAGGCTGCTCCATCCTCACTGCACACCACAAGCTCAAAAGCAGCTGTGCTTTCATGCTCTTCTGGGTTACAGGGAATGTGGTGACGAGTGCCCAACACACGTGATTCAGTTTCCTTCATCCCTGACAGCAATTTGCTGACCACTTGATATCCTCATTGCCACCAGGCACCCCTCCTTCTGCAGCCATCAGCATTAACTCCATGTTCTTTGCTGAGAAAGAAAAACAAACTTCAAATCCCCTCAAGCCCAATATTTCTCCATTGCCATCTGACATCAACACAAATCAGTATCACATGAAGGGAACAGCTGTGCAGGGTATCCTTAAATCTGCCACCTGGCTGCCTCCATGGAGCTGTTCCTGCTTGGTGGTGGGCTTCAACAGAGAGGCAAAGTGTTTTCAAATGCAGGAATTTTATTTAGGCATCAGAGCTCTTGACTCTTTAGCAAGCATTTTGATGTGTTCTGAATCATCTCTGTATTTTCACTTCCTTAGCATTGGTGGGATGGATAGGAGGGAAGTTGTGGGTGCCCCAGATATGCCCAAACCAGCTTGGATGAGCCCTGGGCACCCTGAGCTTGGGAGGGTGGGGGGGTGCAAGAGTCTAGAGCAGGGCTGGAGCTGGGTGTGCTGCGAGGTCCCCTTCCAATCCATCCATTTTATGATTCTATAATTGCACAGAAGGTCAGTTTTCTTGGCTCTGGAAGAGTTCCAGGCGTTTCTGCACCCAGGACTCCTCGGGGTTTGCACATACCTCCTTCCCCTTCTTGGTGACCAGGCTGCAGGGAGAAAACCAGCGTTAGGTTCACACGATGATTGGTCCTGCAGGCAGCACACACACGTCCACAGCCACACTCTCGTCCCTTACCAACCACCCTGGAAGCTGTGGCATGATGCTGTTGTGTTACACCGCAACCACCCCAGCTGTGGTTGGATACTCACATCACTGCCGGCAGGCGGCATTTGCTGCTGGTGGGGAAGGCAGAAGCAATGACGTTGCGTGGGATGGGATGTGGAACGTAGGAGAAGCAGCAGGTTGTGGGTAGATGCTCTGTGGGAGAGAGAAACAAAGCCCTGGTGAGACCCCACAGGTGCCCTACCTGGGACTATACAAGGATCTCCCATCACACAATCCCCCCCTGATGTCATATCCCCCAAGGACACCCCTAGGGACCCCATCTCCAAGGCTGAGCCCCAGCACGGGTGGCAGGCCCCCACAGCCCACCATGAAGGTCCCCTCCATGGGGATGGGGCTCCCAGGGAGGAACGGGCACCCAGACAGAGGTACATAATGAGACCCGACTCACCCAGATGGGCCACAGCTGAGGAGCAGAGGGCCAGGAGGAGCAGAGTGGCCAGGACGGCTGCGGGGCCCTTCATGGTCTGCAGGATGTTGGCACAGTGAGCAGGGCTGGAGTTGGGTGGCTGCAGGTCTCTGCTCTGCACGATGCTCAGCCTCTGCTGTGCTGCCACTTTTATCCCCAGGCACTGGGTGCGGAAGGGTTTCGAGGAACAAAAGATGAGTACATAATAACTAGGAAATTATCTCAGAATTCCTGCAGTTCTTCTGAAATGGAGAAATAAAGCTACGAAAGGGGAACTGCTGGCCGCTGCTTTCAGTTTCTGCTTTAGTGTCCAGTGGGGACTGGCCAGCTCCTGACTCCTCATGAAACCCACCTGTCTGCTCTGCACTGACCCTGCAGTGAATCCCCTCAAATCCAACATTTCTCCAACATCAGCCAAAATCAACATTGCATGGAGTGAACAGCTGTGCAGAGCACCCTTAAACCCACACCCAGGCAGGGTCTACACTGTTGGAGGGCGTACAGAACCTTCACCATTCTGGTTTCACATTTCATAATGCCTTCTGGGCTGTTCCCAGGTCCCCACAGTGAGGCAAACCCCAACACGGCCTCTCTTTCCCAGTGCAGGATTCATGTCTCACTACAGCCACACAGGTGCAGGTCAGAGCAAGTAGCTTTATTAAATCTCAGTAGAGCTGTACAGTAGTGTGAAGTGGGACAGAGGGAGACAAGGCAGAGCTGGCTCCATAAGTTAATGAGACATCACAGGCACTGACAGGTCATGGCAGGGTACGTAGAAATAGAGCTGGTGTTGGTAGCAGCTCATGTTGAGGCGTTGCTCAGCTTCTTTCCCTGCAAGTACTGCTGGAACCAGCCCTCTGCAGGGTCCACGCAGAACTTCTTCCCCTTCTTCAGCTCCACACTGTGGGTAGAGGGGCTGGGTTAGCTGGAGTGTCCTCCCCTACCCTGCAGCATCATTCCTAGCATTCCCCAGAACTCTGAGTTCTAGCAGCCTCAAATCCCTTGTAAACCTTGGTTTCCTTCCCATTTTTATTGCTGAAATGAGGGGCTGCTGGAAGATTTGAAATAAAGCATTGAGAGGAGGAGGAACATGTGGATAGAACTCAGCATATAGCACCCTGAGAGGAGCTTACTGTGGACATTCATAGTGGGAAGTGAAAGCACAGTCAGGGTGGCTGAGGGCGAGGAGTGTGGATGGGAAGGAAGACTGAGGAGGAAGGTTGGTGGAGAAAGGCTGGGCATGGGAGGTTGGGGGAGGAAGGCTGGGGATGAAGGCTGGGGATGAAGGCTGGGGCCTCAGGGACTCACATAATGGCTCTGCGGGAGCAGTTTGGAGGTGTTTCCCGATAGCTGCGGATGAGCGAGGTGTTGATTTCCCTCTGGATGAACATGTTCTTGTAGCAGCAGGAGCTGTAGGAGCTGCGGACTGAGAAGAGGAAGGGATTGGTGCTGTCCCATGCCTGACCCCAGCCACTTCCCCCACTATGAGGATCCCTGCCATGTCTCCAGCTCTGCAGGTTTGCCCCCATATTCCTCTCTGACAAGAAATCCCCAGGAACAAGCGTTATTAGCAAACATCTTCCAAGCCAATGTCGACCCCTTGGCACCTTAAGTCCACAGGAGAAGCAGGGGCTGAACCTATTCCCCATCCCCAACCCCAAACCTGCAGCAGGACGTGGGTTAAGACTCCGTGTTGGTACTTACAGGACTTGCCCCAGCTCTCAGTCCAGACAGCTGCGAGCAGCAGAGTGATCATGGCCAAGGAGTAGATCTTCATGTCCAATCTGGGTGGCTGTCAGCTCCAGGAACCAGTAGCACTTGCTGGTTTGGTGCTGCTGAGTGCTACCTGCTTGTACCTCAGCATTATATAGCCCCTGTCCAGGATTTCCATGACAGCTCTGGACTCTCCCCAGGGGAAGAACCACTCGTTGCTATTACTAAAGGGCAACTGGGGGATGGAAATTCCTCTCCCTGGCTGGTGCTGTTCCGGCCCCTCTTCACACCCAGCCTTGAGGGCTTCTGGAAAGTCTGGTGAGCACAGTCCTGTGCTGCTGCAATGCGTAGCAGCCTGCAGTCTATTTTGGGTTCAGCTGCTGCCACCGACAAACCACACAGGATGATAGTCATGCTCACTGAAGACCTGAGTGAGCTTCTGTTCAAAACTCATCCTGACTGTGATGCTGCTCTTGCAGTTTTTGCTGAGGTGACTGGTTTGGCACTGGCTGCACCCAAGCTCAGGCCAGCCCACCTCAGACCCCATGGCTGTGTGCCAAGTGCCCATGGTTTTGGCTGTGCCCATGGTGCTTCCTGTAGTGGTGGCCATGTTCATGATGGTGCCCATGGTGGTGGTGGCTGTGCCCGTAGTGCTGCCCATAGTGATGGCTGTGTCCATCATGGTGCCTATAGTGGTGGCTAAACCTGCAATTGTGGCCATGTTTGTCACGGCAGCCATGGTGGTGGCTGTGCCCATCACAGTGACCACGTCAGTGGCCATGGCCATTGCATCTCCTCATGGCAACCCTGGCGTGTGAGTTGTTACCAGGGCCTAACTGTGCAGCTCAAGTTCAATTTTGCCTGGGGATGGCTGATGAAGAGCAAGGGAAGACCCCTCTTTTCAGGTTTGGCACCCAGAGATGTGCTCACCTCTTGCCCCTTTTGCAGATGGCTTCCCCAGGTCCCATGTGGACACTGCTTTACTCTATGTACCCCCAGATCCTTCCAAAAAGGAATTGAGAAGAGTGACCACAACATCATCTCTTCCCACCCCTTTACTGAGTTCAGCTCTCACAGCTGACATTTCTTACCCAAAGCAAGCCAAGAGCAGGAACTCTTCTGCTCCCCAGACACTTGCACAGCCAGATGTTTGCATACACAAGGTTGAGTTTAATTCTGTTTACAGTGCTGTATAAGAAGCATTAGTGATGCTACTCCCTATTAACCCCTGCACTGCAAAAAGCCCAAGGAGCACAGTGACACTGACATGCAAAGCAGTTGTCCCCTGCCTAAGACCCAGTCCAGCCATGGTCTCAGGGTGGAGAAGAGCAAGAGATGCAGGAGATACGGAAATCTGTGCACAGTGATGCCAAGAGCTCCAGGATCTCACAGTGGGATAAATGGAAAGAAAACATGGAGGTGAGTGCTGCTCATCTGCATAGCGCAGGGCTGAGATGGGGAGGACTCGCACTGCTCCTGGTCTCCCCATCTCCGTGATAAGGCTGCCTCCAAGGGCCCTATGCTGCTCTTGTGGCTCTTCTAGCTGGGGATGGAGTAGGAGCTGACCTGGAACCTCTGCTGGTACCTCTTCACCCACATCCTGTCCGCTGGGGTGCAGATCTCTTTGCCATTCTTCACCTTGAAGCTGTGCAGAGAGAAGAAATGGATTTAAGTCTCCTAACCCAGAAGATCTGAGGGCAGCGAATTCTCCAGCAGCACCCACTCACTGCCATGCTGATACCACCAGGGGGGCAGGCATACTCACATCACAGCTCGGTGTGGGCACTGCGGGCTGGTGGCATAGCAGGCGACAATGTTGTCCATTTTGATCCTTCTGGTATGAAAGTTGAAGCAGCACTTGTCAGGCACAGCTGGGGCTCCTGGGGGGAGAATGAGAGCTCAGCTCAGCCTGAAGGCCCCCAGTTCCCATCCCGGCCTCCTTGCATGATGCAAACCCCATGCACCCCTCCCTTCTCCCTGGTGTTCCCATCCCCGGTCCCGCAGGTGGCTGCACTCACTCTGGGCCAGGCTCTGGCAGCACAGCGCAGTAAGGAGGAGGAGGACAAAGAACACCCCAGCTGCCTTGGCCATGTCGGGCTGTAGGAGGGCTGCAGGCTGCTTCACTCTCCCTTCTGCTTGGGATGGACTGCTGGGCTTCTTTTATGGAGCAGCAGCAGTGCTGACTCCCATGAGGTCAGTAGTTGCGTGGACAGGGGGAGGACCTGGTCACTGGACATGTCCCAAAGAACAGAGAGTGGGTGATATCCTTCCCCTCCCAGAACAGTTTGAGGCGGAAAAACCTGCTCTCAGACTCTGAGGGGCTTGGGATTTTCTAAACTTCTTCCTGCAATATTGGGGCTGGTGGCCATATTGCTCCCCCAGTTTGGCTCTGCACCCCAATCCCTAGGCAGGTTGTATGGACATGGAGGGGTGCATGGGGCAGGGTAGTGTCTGGAGCTGAGCAGGGTCCCACACAGCCAGGCGTGCTCCCAACATACATCACAGCTGGCAGAAGCTGCCAGTCCATGGGAGCACAGTAATGCTTTGCATCCCACTGATTTGTGTCTCAGTGGGGAGGCAAATGTCCAATCCCAGACCTGACACTCTTTTCTAAAAATAAAAATAAAAATAAAAATAAAATAGCCTATTTATAAAATAAGTTTACTAAAAAGTAAATAGCCTTTGCTCAGATGCAGAAGGCACATGCATGGCCCTCTGCTAGTTTAGGGGACTTTGGAGCCCTGTGGGGCTGGGTGAGGCTGGGCAGGTGTTTCCACTTCCTATCCCCAAGGCCAGAGAAGCAGCTCATGTTCTTGGCTACGATGAGCTGGGAAATAGCAAAGGCTAGACTGGGCTTCCCCAGTGGTCTTTGCCTGCCTACAGCTGTGCCAAATCCCCTTCTCCCCCAGCCCAGACAACTCCAGATGCTGGCAGATGTACACAGACGCGAGTCCCTGCTGGCACAGATCTCAAGTCTGTGGACACTGGTCAAGGCTGTGATCATCCCCACAGGATGCTGTGGCCATCTCCATAGTGGGACCACCCGTACTTCTGCGTCCCTCTGGTTTCTCTTCTCCAAACCTATTTCCCAGAAATCAGACTCAAGCTTTTGGCTGCAGAAATCTCCCAGACTGCTGTGATGGAGTGTATGTGTGTAGGGTGCAGCAAGGGAACTGTAGGATATCCCAGGGTGCAAGGAAAGGGATGTTCTGTGTTTCTGTGTCCCATCCCACCATTAGCCCAACACTGGTTTAATTTCTCCACTTCCATCTTGTCCCAGCCCAGGGAGCAAAGGGAAGCAGAGGGTGCTGGGATGGTGTAGGCTCCTGTCTTTGTTTTCACTCCCTGGATCCCTTTTCCCCATCTCATCCCCACATCCTGAGGTCTTCTGGCTGAGCAGGATAGTCCGAAACCTCACTGCCAAGCCATATGGAGCCCCCACTCTACCCTGGTGACAGCATTGCACGGTGTTGCCCCAGGATCTGCTTTCAGTAGCACAGATTATCCTGGATGTGGCCAAGGGGAAATCTCAGACAGGCTTTGCTGTACCCTCTCCAGCACAAGTTGTTTCCAAACAGGAAATAACTCCTGACTGATGGTATTTTCCCTGCATTAAGGAAAAGAAAGAGAAACATAAGGAAAATGAAGAAGTTTCACTGGACTGGGAAAGGCCCATTGTCAAAAACCTCACGCATGGGATGCTTTGGGTCGGGAAAGTCTAAGGATGCTGCTGCCATCCCTGCAGACTTCTTCTGCCCCAAGCCTGGTGCTGGATTGGGGTGATACCTCAGCCCTGCACTGAGCAGAATTCAGCAACACTGCTCTTTCCAGTGTGTTCACCCAAGCTTTATTGATGCTGCAGAGCTCCTCGTTCCATTTGATCGATAACCCCAGGGGATGGAGATCTAAGTGCAGTGCCTGCGGGACAGGATGGCTGCAGCAGCTGGGCCATCCAAAATAATGTCTGTAATCAAAGCCACTCTGACAGGTCGGGTCTGCTTTCCATAAAGCCGTAAGGATTTGTTTGATTTATTCTTCTCCTTTTAAACTCTCTGTCTCGGTTGGAACAGAGCAGTGTTTCCATTACCTTGCTGAGGCTGATGGTGAGATAAGCACTTAATGCACCCCCCCCCCCCCTTGTGCTATTTCCTTCCTATGGGCTGACAAGGTCCCTGCTGTCCCTGTGGCCACCTGGGACTTCCCCTGCTGTTAGAGGAGATGGTTTCTATTCAACCTGGTCTGAGACCTGTCCACCCTCGCCTGTCCCAGTGAAGAGGTGGCTCTGAGTCACCGTGGCCACAACCCACACTCGTGCGGGGAGAGCAGCTGCAAACCTGCAGACATGCCTTTATCTTCCTCAAAAAGTGGTGGTTTCTATTTGAGGCTGGAAAACCCCATAAGGATCGGAGCCTCATCCTGAAACCTGGGTGATCAAAGGGGTGGGAGTGAGCTTGCAGCCCCTAAGGCATTGCCTGCCCAGAGGCTGTGGGGATGGGCTCATCTTCTGTTCCCAAGTGCTGTTGGGAGCTGAAACCATTTAGAAATAGTACGGAACAGATGGTGTTGTTCTTGTCCAGGGGAGAATGCACCAAGTCACAGCCAAGTCCTAAATTCATAAACATCAATCATGAGTGACCAGAGGGGATGCATCCACATCATCAGGTTAAGGCAGCCCAGAAACCAAAACCTCAGCAAAACCAATGGAATTGAGTTGCTATGCTGTAAATCTGCAGGGGCCACCTGTTGATTTTGGGGTGCATGGCTGGCGGCTGGGCTGGGGGATTCCCTCTTCCCAATGCTGGGCTGTGGGCTGTGGGTGTCCTTCACTCCCATAGTGGGGAGGGCATTCCCAAAAAGAAAGGTTTTCCACTCAAAACAGCATCCCTGGGGTCTGCAGTGGGCTGCAGGCTCAGACCCCATAGCAGAGCTGTACCCAAAGCTCCTAAAACAGAGGCAAAAAGCTTTTGTCTGTGATGATGGCTTCTCTCCAGACTACTTGGGGAAGGATCTTTGTTGTCTTCTCATTGGGATGCTCTGTCCTTGGTGGTTCCCCTGTTCAAGCTAGCTGAAGACCCTGCTTGCCCCAGTATCCCCACTATGTATTGGTGACTCATTTCTGTGTCCTTTGGTCCCCGGCATCATGGCTGAAAGTTGATTTCACACCAGACTCCTCTGCTGGAGATAACAATCAGGGCTGGGCTGTTTGAGCTGAGTGTCATCTTCCCACTCTCTAACTTTGGCCTTTCAAAACCAAACCCAAAGACACTCCCTGCCTCCTTATCTGCACTCTGGCTTCTGAACCTGCAGGCTGCACACACATCACTTCCCAGCAGCCTGAGAGCCAAGAGGCAGCATTACTGGGTGGAAAAAAACCAAAAAGATAAAGTAAGATGCTCATGAAATCCTCTGCAGTGGGAAACTGGGGTTAAAATTAGTCCAAAATTTCACCCTGGGGCCTTGGTGGGCTCTCTGTGTGCCTCCAGCATTGCAGAGCCTGTGGTGTCTGCCAGAAATCTCAATGCTTTTTCTTTGGGCTGGATTTTCTCCAGGCGCAGGAGCCAAGGTTGGTGGTGATGGGGGGCAGAGAACAACATCGACAGGGAGCAGGGAATGAAAGTGATGGAGAGCAGGGGGTGGAATTGATAGGGAACAAGGAATGGCATCAATAAGGAACAGAGAACAGCATCAATAGGGAACAGAGAATGACATCAGTGGAGAACAAAGAACGGCATTGATGGGGAACTCAGCCAGGTTGCTCCCTGTGCAGCACTGCCCTTCTGCAGGAGATCATCGCTATGGGAAATTTCCCTTAAGTGCTTGTGCAAGTGTTTTCTGGGAAGGCCGTGGGAAAAACCTTCCTCTCCTCTGTTCCTTCAGCTGGACACACTGTGGCTGCAAGGGGAAAGTGAAAGCCGAGGATTGTTGTGCAGGACGCAGCATTACTGATGGAGACAAGCGGTGGGAAGCTTGATTGGTTGTTTTTTTTTTCATCTTATTTGTTATCGTTTCTCAGTTTCCTTCTGCCCGTGCTGGCCTTGGGAGAAAACTGTCCTGCCGGGTTGGAAATCTTCTCCCTGAGCCTCAGCTGCTGTTTTTCCACCCTTTGGCACAAGATGTCAGTGCTGCTCAAGGAACGGTGCTGCCCTCCACCCATCACCCACTGTGGGTGCTGGCTGGGGCTAAGGGGTGACACCCTGGAGGGCACCACCGAGGGCTTTGGGGCCTGGGGGAGATGGGATGCTCAGAGTAGGTGTCATCCAGCCCTGTGCCTTTGTGGCCTTATCTTTGGGGGTAAGGTGGAGCTCGCCAGCCCTAATGGAATCATTTGGGGTATTTTTGGGGATGGAGGAGGTGTAAAGATGTCAGCCCCATCCCTGTGTCCCATGGCACTGCTACCAATGTGGAATACTGAGATCCAACTGGGGACATATGGCTCTGCTCAACATCAATGGGAAATGCTGGGTATGGGGGTGCAAGAGCTGCTTCACAATGGGAAAAACAATATGAAAGAGAATATGGTGTAAAGGAAGCAGGGGATCAAAAATGAAACTCTTTACCCATCACATGTGGAAAAAGGGAAAAAAATCCTCAAAAGAGTGTTGACAAGTCTGTAGGCTTCTGGGACCCTGGGTGACCAGAAAAATAACACATCAAAGACCTCACGTATGCCTGAAGACAGATAAAAACTCTGAGCCAAAATGTTCTATGAATATTTAACTGCCATCAATATTTAATTAGGAGATAGAGAGAGATTAAGAGCAAGGATACCCATCCCCTGCGTGCACCAGCCCTGTGCTGTGCAGTGAGGGCACGGCACCATTGGGCTTGGTATGGAACACATGGTGCAGTCACCATGGGGGAAGGAAAAGAAGCCCCAAAAGGAAAGAAAAGGCTCAGAGCTGCAGCAGTCCCAAGCATGGCCCTTTCTTGAAGCCTGTCCAGGACACAGTAGGGTGGAGGATTGGAAAAGCAAGGAGAGAAACTGTCCCAAAACTCATGGGAAAGAGTGAAGATTGAGGATTTGTCACCCACTGCTGCACTGGGAGAGCATAAGGGGGTCCCCGTCCTGCCCTGGTGACAGTGACAAGGTGTGGCAGTGTGGTGTCCCCTCCCTCTG